ATGTGTTTTTGCCATATTAATTTTCTACGTCTTATCTCCTCTAAACTTTGATTATGTTGACTTCATACGACATTTATTGGTATTTTATTATCAAAATATTATCCTGTTACATTTTATCAATATATGAAGTTATATGACAGCAAATTAGTGCATCCTTATTAATGCTTAACAAATTACTGTCATAATAATTATTACCACTTCTCTATTGTTACCAAGTACAGCTTTATTATTTTGATGAGTACAAAATTTTATTAACATTCGGTAATGTTATTATTGCTACGGTCATCATTACTGTAGCTTAATTATTGTCACAAAAATATTGTTAAACTGTTTTAACTAATTTATAAAAATTTTTAGTTTGCTTATTGCATAATAAAATCTATAACTTTAATTTTTGCAATAAAAAAACAGTAACACTGATGTCACTTATAAATTAAACCAAAATATGAAAGTTGTATTTTTAAAATTCAGCAAATTTTTAAAAGCAAAAAGAAAAATATGGCACTAATTTTGATTCTTGAAGTCAAAATTCAAAAGTTTCGTTTATAAATTCAAAGTTTGTTCTTCTTTTTAAAATGAAAACATTTAAAACTTGAAAGAAAATTAAATTGAACGGAAAGAATCTCCAGAATTAGACCAAATTTGTTTTCTGATTATTTTTGGAAATAAATTTATCCACCAAATGATAAGTGAAAAGCAGTTGTTGACAAAAATGCTTCCTCATAGCATTGAAGTTACATTCTTTTATATGATTAGCCAATTATCATACAATTAAAGAATAGTTTTCGATGAATTTATATCCAAACTTGAATTACTTTAAAACTTATTTCATTCTGAGTTCATCTAAATTTTATTTTTTATTGCTACTGTTCAATTTTTAAATTAGCAAAATATTTCTCAAAGTAATTTCTCATTTGACTATTGAAAGTAAAGTGTAATATATTTTCATAAAAATACTCTAATACATATTACAATGTAGCCAATCCAGTCAGAAAAAATCCAAAAGTATTTCTAATAATGTAAAAGATTACTTAGTACAAGAATTGGTAAGTAGGAAAAATATCATAGTCTTAGAAAAACAGATCTACCATAATTTATAGGAATAGTTTCCACTCATTACTAGAAGTAAAAAGTAATGTGTAATATATTAACAATCTCATAAGTTGGTAAGACGTGCTGGTCCGCGGTGGTCAACTCAGTCCCATTTCTGATCTCATATACATGTATATATACATATATATATA